TAAGGTCTAGACCTTACTTTGTAAAGTGTCCTGAGATGACTTTTGTTGTGATTTGGCGCTATACAAATAAAATTTGATTTGATTTGATAACATGATATACTGTATTAGTGATAGGAGACATTTTCTTATGATAAATCATAATATATATCATTTAAATCTTTCTTCTACCCCAGGATTGTGTGGCTGTATACAAACTGTGCTTGTCTGATATTTCCATTGTGCTGCTATTGATTTTGTTGTCTATGTTAACAGTGTTACAACTTTGTAACCATCTTTATACATTTTGGTTTTTCACTTCACACTGGCTGTCACAGTTTCCTGTTTTCATGCTTCCTGTTTTTCTGTTTTTATTTTGATGTGCCTGCCAGATTGTCGTGATTACTTATTGTACAGTCCTCTAGGCCAGACTCTGTTTATGCTGCTGCCGATTTATCTTTTTCATGTACATGTCGCTAAGTTTAAGATTTTTGTCTGAAGCAGTTTTGTTTTTGCTCATGTTGACTATTTTTGCTGAAAAGACTTTGTTAAAACACTGTGATTTCACGACTTGGATGTATTTTGTAGCCACATACGTTTTGCCACAAAATCGTTGGGCTGTGTATTGGCAAGAATCCGGCGATACAATATGTATCATGATACAGGTACAGGGGCTACGATTAGATATATTGTGATTAAAAAAAATCATAAAATAAGCAAAACAGCATCACAGGCATAAAACTGTCTGCAAAAAAACTTTTTTATCCAATCAAAACAATGATCTGCATTTAAATTTGGCACAGTTCCTACAACATTGCACTATTTGGCATGTGAACTATTAATTAAAAAATCAATACTGGCCATAGTCTGCAGCAGCTGAGTTTATCTCTTCAAGCCTCATTTGTAACATTTGAGAAGCTTGTGTTTGCCACCCCACCCCCCAGCCTATGATTCCCAGAGGTCACTTACATACTCAGCTGATTCTGATAACATGTACAAGCATGATGTTTATTTTACTCACCAAAAATCAAAGAAGGCTTTGTGCTGAGCAATGGTTGAATTCCCAGGCTTCAGCAAGGTCTCTCTGAGCTCACCGTAGCATTTCCATGAATCACAGTCACAGTCAAAACTGCCGGGAAGCTTTATCCAGAGCTGCTGCACATTGAGTGTGGGGGGGCAAACACCTGGCACTTAGTTTTTGACTGTAATTCATTTATGATGTGTTGTTTGCTATTGATATATTTAATTTATTGTGTTAAAAGGCAAGAACAGGAGGAGATCTGTGTTTATAATTGTTTTTTGTTTCTTTGACACGTCAACATGAAGACACCACCTATTCCACAGTTATTCCTGTGTAATAATGCCCCAAAACAAAATGTCCATTCCTTCTTGGTAAACGACATAGCACTTGTGTTTATGTGCTATAAAGCTGTAAAGACATAGTGATGGCAGCTCTCTGTAGCTCTTGGTTTCTCCACAGAAACTTTTTCCTATGTGTACTCGGGTTTTATGGAGTTCATGATTTTACAGTAAGCCACACAGAAATGTAAACCACAAATGACAAATCCAGTACATTTGGGGAGTTTTTACACATCAGCTAAAAGTGACTGAGGTCATACAATCATTTTGTTCTATTAAAAGATGAATGTGTCATTTTGTATTTTGCTGTTGTGGCACCATGATTCAGGAAGAGAATCAATATGCACCAGGGAAGCTCATTTTTCATGACCTAAAAGCTCAGCTGAATGGTATGTTCTACAAGTGCATAGAGCTCTTATTTACTGTTTAACTCATGTGACATGAATGCAGCATCACTGTCAAAAAGGGTTTCACAGTAATCCACTTACCAGCACCACTTTTAAACAATAACACTCCACAAAACAGTGTAATAGAATTTATTAACACATCACATATTTAGCTTTTGGAGGGACTGATTGTGTCCTAAAACTGCATTCAGCGTATGTACTATATATATGTACAAATCACATACAGGCAAGCTTACAACTGTTAATAAATATGTTTAGACCTCATGAAGACTTGTTGAGCTTGAATGTTTTAACTCAAGGGCAACTACTTCAGACAACAACATGTCATTACATTATACTTTGTTGACATATAAGTGATGATATTATTGCTTTGTGGTACTTACTGTAGTTAAGTCACTGACTGAATGTCCCATTCCACCTTTAGTGTCACTCCTCTGTGTAACACACGTTACCTCCCACCCAACATGTGGATGGTTTGTTCGGCACTGAATGTGTTTGATCCCACCCGTGTGCCCTACTGATTGGTTAACAGTGATCAAAGATCTAAAGCAGGCCTTGTCCTCACAGCTTTGATCATAAATTCATGGGGTTTAAAGCTCTGAGAGCCATCGTTCCCATATCAGCCCTAATCTGGGGCCAAATGAAACTCCCTCCGTAATGAAAGCTCGAAGGAAAAGTGTTGAATGTCTCCAATTTTACATCATTAGTTACCATCGTATTACCAGTCCAGATGTGGTCTTCTGTCATTACTTTTAGATTTTGTATCTTTTGGCAGAAAAAGCCATTCACTATTATTCAAAGCAGACAATAATCTGCTTCACTCAAAAGCTGTTACCTGTGAGTGTTAGTGACCAGCATGACACAGCTTCATCCCTTCAGGATGAACATTTCTACTTAAAACACAATGTGGAAAAGCAAACATGAACTCACTTCTGTGCTAGCAATTGATCTATTAGGACAATTAGAATAAGAGGAAAATGTATGTTTGAATGAAAGAATGAAAATTTCACCTCAGTTTTGGAAAATGGAATGTAACATTATAGTTCAGAACAGTGAGTAAACTGAAATATCTAAAATTGCTATATAAAGCTTTATTTGTTCTAAATGGATTCATTCAAGTTTATATTGGTCAAACCTTTAAAGGGTATGTTTAGAGTTTTTATATGTGTGTATTTCTGTCAGGGCAGCAACAAGTTCTTGATGAGCAGATGGACAGAAGGGACAGTTTGTTGCTATATAGATAGATTAGATAGATAGATAGATAGATAAAAACTAAAACTAATCTACACTAAAATGTCTCCCTTCAATTTTTTCACTTCAACTCTATGTGTAATTTTTTTTCCAAAGGCATTTTAATTTTCTTTTTTGTGAAAATACAAAATTTTAAGAACAATCAGCAAAAATGTACACAATGATGAGTATTTATTCTCATGCCACTGTGACACCTGGGACCATAGATGATAAATAGAAACACCTGGAGAGGTGGGATATCAAAAGTAAGTGACATATAACAAAAGCTATAGAATGTCTCAGCACAGCTTTATAACACAGTTAGCCATGGCTAACCAGATGGCATGCAATCCACTTAGAAGGAGTTTTACTTTAAAAATAGACTTCACAAATAAAAGCACTGCAGTATCATTAAGTATCAGTCAGTACTATGAGCCCTGGTTGGATCTGACTTAAAAAATGATTGTTTGTGTTGTTCCTTGATGTGTTTGGCCTTACCTCTTCAGTCTGTGACATGTTATTAATGTTTTATAAAGCAGAGCTCATGCAAAGTGTTGCTACTCAGAGTCACAGCTGGTGGACGATGGGAGCTGATATGACTTGCACCAGTGGTGGCTCGGGCTGAGCTTGGTGCTTTGTTCCAGGATCGCAGGGTTAATGGTTTTCTGTACTGGGTGGTGAGGAAGGAGCAATGCAGGTTTTTCAAGCATTCTGTGTCGGAAAATTAGGATGCAGCCTCTGTTGTCAGAGCCGGGGAGCTGTCTGCCACTTTCCCAGAAGCCCTTGGGCCGGTGACAGGGAGATGGATGATATCTGCAGCCTGGCCGCACTGCTCCCTCGAAGCACACAAACTCTCTCTCTCTCACACACACACACACACACACACACACACAAACAACGTGTTTTTAGAGTCATACACAGACTTACACACAAACAGAGGAAATCAAAACACACCTACACACAGACTCCCATTTCTCCCATTCGTTCCCTTTCTTTGTATTCTCTTTCTCTCTGACACACTCACATTCTCGTACAGGGAGTAGGGTCTAATACCGTTCTCTCTTTGTTGCCTTTGGCAACAAAACTAATATCCTACATATCAAGGGGAATGAAAACCTCACAAATGAAAACAATGAAAATGTTCTGAGAGAAAACTGCAGGATTCTTTCATTGTTTGCTTACATGGAATAAAACATATTTCTAAATAACCAAACACACTAAAACATATTCAACAGAAACATTTATTGAAATCATTATTTGCAGCAGATCATATACAATTAATACATTTTCTGTTAAGACATAAATTGCAGGACAAATGTTTCTAAATGAGTTCCTACAACAGGTACAAGATAAAATATGTTATTAACGCAGGCAAAACTGCATGAGCCAAGATATTTATTACTACATAACTCAACTAGCACAGCTCTACACATAGCAAAAGCTATTTTAATTTATTAAAATACACAACCGCTGTGTCCTTAACTGCTCAGCCTTGGAAGGGGGGCTGAACTTGAACCTAAAAATATATAACATGCTCATGTACTACAGCTGTGTAAAGTGCATGTGTGTGCTCGTGTTAAGCCCATTCTTTGCCTCTCTTCTCCTCCCCCATCCCTGTCTCCCTCCTGCTCTCGTTGTCCTTACCTGCTCTCCGCCACATTGCTGATGTTCCTGCAGTCGGGACTGAATCCAGTGGCCGTGTCACCCGAACAACAGCCGCTGCATACTAATGAGCGGCACAGGGGAGAGAGTGGGGGACAGCTTGACTCTGTTCTGTGCCCCTCCAACAACCACACCTTTTTTCTTCCTCCTCCTCATCATTCTGAAAAAATAGAGAGAATGGGAGGCTATAAAGGGTGGGAGAAAGAAATGAGATGAGAAGGGGCAAATAAGGTGAGTGGTGTTGGAGCAGTGCAGAGGAGGAGGAAAAATGGTGAGGCGAGAGGGAGAGTCAGAAGCAAAGGAGAACGAGGGCTGGTAGAGAGCAGGGTGTTAAGGGAAACATCCATCACTGTTTTAAGTGACTGCAGTGGGACGGAGCCGACTAAAAGGTCGTCTGGTTTCTTTCTGTGCACAGTGGGCACCTGGGCCGGGCTGAGCGGCTTCCAAATGACTCCGGGGTAATTATCTCACGCAGGCCGTCTGTTACAGCAGTCTGACACTTTTACTGACTTACTCATCTACTGCAAATGTGCAAGCAAAACAAGGCAGTCATGCACCCAGACACTATCCTCCACCCTAATAACAAATCGGGTAACAAAATGGATTGCACAAAGGCGATCAGGAGGTGAGGTTTGGATGTTGTTGTGTTGATTTGTCTTACCTTTGCAAATGGAGAAAGACCAACAGTTGTCAGGACTCCTAGACAAAAAGAGGTAATGATCGGAATTTAGCATAAGCATAGGAATACTGTATCAAATCAATGTATTCAAATCAGTTTTATTTTTGTATGATCACATTTTATAAATATATATATATACATATATATATAAATGTGATCATTTTCATTGTATTCACATGCATGGGACAGTACCTATCTAAAAAAATGTAGCAGAAAACATCAGTTCTTTTGTGGTGGAATATGTCTCAGCAAAATCGGAGTAAACACTATGACGACCTGCCTAGGGGCTGAGTAGGTGCACTAGGAATTTGTGGTCATGAGCTATTTCAGCAGGGACACAAATGAACACATGTGATTTGAATCTTTAGTTTACAACATAAAAGACAGCAGCACTCAGGCAGCATCAGGGTTGGAAAGTGACTCAAAGAGATCTCAGCTAAAGGTACAGCCATCTGTCTGGTGGCCAAGGGGTTAAAAGCTTTAGCTGGTGGCGAGAATGTTAGGCCAGCTAGGTCACATTCAAGTCCCAGCCGCTGGATAGCCAGCCTGCAAGACACAACGTAATTACTCCAACCAGTTACAGTTCAGTAACTCCATCAGGCTGCTAGCCAGATACCAGGTTTCCCTGGCAACGCCTCCAAACTGAATAGCAGATTAGAAAGAGAAGGCGAGATAACAGGGCCAGGAGGACCGAGTGGAGATATACCCTGAAACACTGTCGACTTTTAGACAATACAGACATGTGCAACATCGACATTTACGCACACAGAGCCAGTCTGAGGAGCAGTAAAGTTGGCTGTGAAGAGCCCTCTGGCCTGCCAGGCTGTCAGTCTGCTACCTCGGAGCTTTGTTGTTTGGTTTTCAATCATCAGCCTCACTTTCCAGGCTCCTGCTTTGCGCCCACAGGCCTGTCAAGAAAATCCTTGAGTCTCAGCGCAACGACTGTCCTTTCAACAGGCACCCCCACCTCCCACAGCACTTACTGTAATCTGAACAAATTAATGGGGTTTATCTCTCCTCCCTGTCATCATGAGAATAATGAGAGAAACTTTTGTGTTTTCATTGCACGTGGATAATGACATTATGAGAGGCACCATGGTTTTTCTTGACTGAATTAAAAACAAAACTGAATTGGCTTTAGTGCCGGCTTTTGGGGATTTGAGTATGTTTTTGCACAGATGCATAATGTGGTGTTGCTGGCACACTTGTATGTGTGTGTGTGTGTGTGTGTGTGTGTGTGTGTGTGTGTGTGTCTGTGTGTGTTCAGGTGACTGTCTGGGCTTCCACCGCAGTGTCTGGAAACTCAGACACCCCCCTCCATTCCACGCTGCTCTGCTATCAGGCATACCTGACGCCCACCTCCCCACTCCACCGTGATAAGAGATCCACTGAACATTAAGCTGCTTCACCAAACACAACCTGACAGTCATTGCAACAAAAACCCCAAAAAAACCAACAAGCCGTCTAATTCGCTAAATCCATCTGATTTCCATGTCAGCCTCAGCCCAAATCCAAATGCAGAGGATAAATGTTAATCTGTCCTTATTACCTTTATCAGAGAGCACTGTGGTGGTGCACTGTGTTACATGACCACCTCTGAACAATGGAGTGTAATCTCCCGCACACACTCGGGTGCATCAGCTGGAGCCTTTGGTTTATCTACACCTATTCAAGGTCTGAATCAATCTGAACTTGAAGACTAGCTTAGTATAGAAACCACACACTTAATACTGTTTATTTAGGGCAAGCTATCATGTTTTACTCCAAATGTATGTTCTGCAGTGTTCTGAGGAACTGCATTAATGACTTGTGCATAAAATGAAGCGACAGCTGAATTTCTACCTCATGAATTCTGTTTTTAAGCAGATTCAAATAGCTCACTTTCTGAATTTTCTGTAATTTCTTCTGTCTTCTGTCCCTGATTTATCATTTTTATTTCAGCAAACCAGTTGCTATTACAGCGTGCTGCTAAATACTTTGACCTCAGCAACCACTTCCAGATTTACTGTGACTGCAGCTTATTATTTTAAAACGAAGAGATAAAATGAGCATTTTCAGAATCAGGCAAAATTACAAGCACTGCTCTTTAAAAGAACCTCATTTTATCTACTTCAGTAATTCATAACAGTTCACATTAATAAAGTGAATAATTTCAGCTTAGTAGGAAAGCAAGCAAAACCTCAGCCATAGTATCAACATGTTTCATAAACAGTACAGCTACTCAAAAGGTCAGAGATGCAAAAATGAATTAATTTGCCTCTGTTGCGAGTCAGTAAAAGGCTGCTTTTACAGACAAATGCTTTTGCTGAATTCCCCTGAAGACGTTTTTAGTTTTTTCCTTCTTCTGTCAGATGCGGTGTACTGCTTAGATGGCACAAACAAGCTCAATTGAATAGTTGCTCGTTTGACTTTGAACTAAGTTTGTATTCCCTGTTCAGTCGAGTTACAAACTAGCCGGGAGCTGATTTTTACGGGGTGATATTTATTGGATCCTTGGCGAATTGCTCTGAGCGTGCTGCTTTGTTACTGTTGGGGGAGCGGTGAGGATTTCATCAGTGGGCTCGGGTGCTGCCAGACTTTGCTGCGTGTTAGACAGACCCTAATAAAAGTGTCTGGCTGTTTTGTGGGCACCAGGTTTGCTCTGGCTGTGCTGCGTCTGACTGCTCAGCACTTGTCGCACTGTGCCTGGCTGTTTGGTATTCATGGGGCATGGCACTCCTTCAGCTGTTGCTGGGGGCTCTGTGGCATAGGCACAGACTGATTAGTTGGCATCAGCGTTGTTCACTATGAAACCAAATGGGGAGATGGGAAGAAAAACATAATTATGGAGAGAGGGAGACTGGAGACTGGGAGAAAGATGGAGAGGAGGGTGTTATAGAGAAAATCAATTGTTTTGAACTGCATTCCTAATATGGGTAATTTAGCAGAAATTCAGTTTTTAGAAAGGCACACTGCCTCGGGAAAAACTGAATGTTTAAAAACCAGGTCAGGCTGTAATGGTGAATGAATTCACACCTTGGAACAGCATAATAGAGAAGAAAAGGCCTAATTTATTGTAATTGCCCTCCTACAGTTATGTTAAGAGACCAGTCCAATGTTTTCATTTTCTATTCAGTGTTCAATCTTTATCTTTTCCAGGCCATCTCGCTGAATGACACTGTCTGTCTTGCGTTGTCCTACGCCTCCACTTCAAATATTGATTTAGACCATTAACCCGTTGGACATCTGATGACAACGGCAAATTCTGGCAAAAATAATCACATTAAGAAAACAATCAAATTCCTACACGTGTTCAGTGGTTTTGGTTTAACACAGTGTGTGATATCTTTCTTCTGTTCTCTAGTTTCGGCACAGTCAGCAACTTCATGCATGAGAGACATCACTTTCTATTTACTGTCATTCACTGACAATTTAAATGTGTTTATTTATAAATATAGTACTTGTGAAATTATCAGAACCATTCCAGGTACAATTAAAAATGTTTAGAACTGCTCTGTAATTGCAATACATAAAAATAAAAAAAATATGTATTTGTCCTTTGTATCTGGGCTATGCATATATTGGTAAATTAGCAAGTAAAAACTATTTTCTGATACTGGTTTTGACAAGTAATATTATTGCTAAAATAGTTGTCTGAAAAATGTAGAAATATATGAGGCAACATAACTGAAATTACAAATTATGAATGTTTGTAAAAGGAAAATAAACAGTAAATAAATGAACTAGCTGTTGGCAAAGCATTAAGTTAGCAGACTGCTAAAACCAAAACTATTAGTTGATGCGTCTCAGAGCCCAAAAACAGCAGCAGCAGATGTGGCATTAGTCTCACACTGCTGCAGCAGCGTCTAAATGAAGCTGGACTGATCAATTTCAAAGCGACTGTCTTGGTAATGGAGGATCAAATATACTGGCTGGGTCTGTGCGATACTGTGCTGTGGTGGTGACAGGGGTTAATCAACACGAGTCTGGGGTGTGGTGGTTTGGAGGGGTTGATGTTCTGCCATTTCTAATCCAAGCATGTGTTACTCAAATGATATTCAAACAAAGATGTTGACACAAAGAGCGATTACAATATTGGATGGCAATACAGTGTGGCGCTGTTGGGGATTTCGACTTTATGGCGATGACACTGCTGTGATCATTAAAGGTGTTTTTGGATCATTTTTGAAAAATGAAAAAAAAATCATGGCATACCAAACATATACATTCTTGCATATACAGTTCCATCAATGCTGTAGTTTAGTTAGCATGTTATAAATGACTTGACAGAGGAGATGACTGAACAAAAATCCTACAAATATTTGCTCTTTATTGTACTCAGCTACTTCCTTTTTATGTGCCATCCCCTTTCCCTTCCTCTACATTGTCCTCACCATGTATACGTGTTGAACAGTAAATCAAATGCTGCTATATTCCGACTCCACCCTTGGAACATTGAGAAGAAAGTTGATTGTGCCCTCCGCCCGCGTCCCAAGAGCCTAACCCGTGATTTTTTATCAAGAGAGCTCACAAGTTAGGGTCTCAGGGAGCAGGTGAAGTACGACAGAGTGTACTGAGGAGCCGCAGTCAGCTGCAGGGCACTGAGTGGCACTGTCACCTTTCCCTCTCTCCCTCACACACATACACACTGTCTATTCCTCAACCACTGCCTCTTAAAAGTACCCTATTTTTGCCCAAAGGCACCTGCAGCCACAAAGTCACTGTCTTTTGTGAGGCTTGGGCTGCAATCAAAAAACAAAACTGCTCGGTGCCCTGGACACAGAAGAGGCTCCCATGTTCCTCCTTTC